CTACAAGTAACACGAGAATTGTAGATTAATTTGAGACAAATTAGACTTTTTTTAAAATTACACAGTACAACGCAGACGTCCATAACACGCACGCACACTCACCCCTATGAACACACGTACGTAAACCATACCCCTATGAGCACCCTCGAAGGACTGGGCCGGTAGATCTCGAGATTCACGAAGTCACCACTGGCGCCTCGCTGTCGATGGGGACGTCGCCTACCACTGAAAGCATAGCGCCGTTAAATTCTCGAATAAATCCAGGAAAATGCGAGCACCCATACTAAGTCGAGGATTTAAATCCGGATGGACAGTTCCAAGAAATCTAACCAACTCATGTATGATCTGTACAAAAAGACCGGACCTAGACAGGGGAGAAAGGCCCAACAGGCCCAAAGCAGAGTGCTGTGTGGTTTGCATTGCCCAAGTTGACACCGAGTCGAGTCACTGACCATGCGTTCGGTGTGTTGGTATTAGTAGTATACGTGGCTAGTAGCAGTATTGTTCCTTCAAGACACGAGGATATGCCTGTCGCCGACGGCCGACGCACCTATCCACTCTGACAGTCCGACGACGACGACGACTCGACGAGTAAGCACCTCCTCGTTGCAGGTGGTGGCCTGACATGACACCTTGACCTTCAGGAACGAGCTACAAAACCCTATGTTCAGGGCCAACAAATCAAATAAAATTGTCGCAATTTAACATGGATATATGGTTACCTTAAATGAAGGAAAAAACAAACAAACCCCATAATCCAGCGTGAGTGCATGCCAATGATCCTATCGGCAGCGGCGGGTAGGCACCAGGCGGCGGCGCGTCAAGGAACAGGCGACTGACAAGGCGAGGCAGTCCACGGTCAGAGATATAGTATTTTTCTCTCACAATAAAATAGCATCAGCCAACTTATAAGCCACATAAACGATCAAGAGAACATGGGGTTGGCTCTTGTTACTGGTAAACAATTGATTGTGGTCTATGAGAGTTTATGTACCTAGGTTTGGGCCTCTATTTGGGCTGGGCCGTCAGCGGCGGACCTCCCTATGTTATTTTGACGCTAGGATATTCACCGTAGAATGATATCATCCGATGACTGTGAATTGGAAGAGACGTGGCCCAATGGCATGTCAGAGCTTGGTCGTGTTATAGAGATTCACTAGAAATCAGACGTGGCCTCCTTTGCATGAGTGTGTGGAGAACAGCTCCCTTTCGTTGCTTCCATCAGATAGAAAGGATTACATACATTGCAAAATAGAAAAGAGGTATTGTAATACAAGTTTCCGTTGGAACATCATCTTGTCTTTGGTACATAGATCACAATGATGTTCCATAAATCATGGCATTTCAATGTAGGTAAAGAGATATATATATGATACTTCATACTATACTAATTAGAATCACATCACACAATGGTAACATAAAACCTTAAAAATCAATTTGGCTAGTAAATAAGTGTCTGGCCGTTTAATTATTGTAGCTGGTGATTAGTACATTGATAAATTTGCATGACGGCTAAGCAAATGAAGAGAAAGAAGGATGATTTTGTTGGAACACACAGTAAAGACAAGCTAGCCAGATCTTCCGTGGACACAGGCATATATTTCAGAGGATATGGAAGAGTATTGTTTGTGCTTTACAACAAATCAACAATTATCGTCCTACCGAGACATATGTTTGCCTTCATTGCAAGCTTGTCTGTAGTTTCCAGCGCCTTGGGATTCTTTGTCGTGTACAGATGCAGGCAGAGGAGCATTGTACAACACGGAACGCCTACTTGTATTCGTGCATGAAGGAAAGGAAGGGAAAGGAGTGCACGTGCAGGAGGAGATATGCGCTGAAGGATGTCCGAATTGAAGTCAAGCTTTGGTGCGGCTCGGGAAGCAAATATGGTTTGTTTATACGGGGAAGAGTACATACAAGCAGTAAGAAAACGGATTTGCTAGAGTCCGGACATTCGATCCGAGGCGCTAGAGTTGGACGCTATCCGCTCAGCGAGCGAGCGAGCACCCTAGTGCGTCAGGCTTGCGAGCGAGCGCCCCAGCAGGGGACCCGCGCTGCCCCAAACGTCGCCAGCACCGCCATCCGCTTCCCACGTGCATCACATGTGCAACACCCGATCTACCTTTGAAACATCCATATGTAACAGTTGCAACATACAAAAGAAGACAGATGAAACAATTGAAACATACGTCTGAAACAATTGCAAAAACACCTAAAAGCCACTTGAAAACCATTCCAAACATACTCAACATCTAGATGAAACACCTGCAATATACGTATGAAACACCTAAAATACTTGAAACATACGCTTACAACATGCATGTATATGCAATATCCAGATCTACTTTTGCAACATCCAAATGGAAACACTTGAAACATACGTCTGATACAGATAAAACATTTGAAACATACGAGCATGGCCATTGCAACATGCGCTTTCAGTGCAACATCTACTTGCTGTTTAGGAATGGAGGCTTGTCAGAGTGTGGAGTTTACCGATGTAGAGCTCGCCGGTGGCGCGGAGCTCATCGCTCCGGTGGAGAAGGCCACGACAGGTCCGGTGGAGAAGGCCTCGCGACGGGCGGTGAGCGTGGTGGAGAGGGAGGACGGCGGGCGGCGGCGCTTGGGTGCAGCAGAGAGGAAGGATGGCCGTCGGTCGGGCGCGGTGGTGCGATCGCGGTGGAGCATGCCGCGGCGGCGCGGCCGCGATGCAGGACGCTGCAGCAGTGCAGGCATGGTGGCACGTTCTTGGTGCAGCATGCCACGGCATTACGAGCACGGTGACGATACAAGAATAGAGACTACAGAATTCAGGACAGTGAGATCGGAGATTTTTTAGCAACACGAGATGGGTGCAAGTGAGACTGTAGGGCCATTCGGGCGGACGTCTAGGCCCACTTACGCAAGTGTCCAGACCAACACTCCAACAGACGCCCTAACCACAAGCATGGACTCAACGTGGCAAGCTGGTCGTGAAGCTGGCATAGGGCATGGCAAATAACACGCAGGTTGCCACTGTGCTTGCCCGTCGTTGTGGGTCGTCAGAGTTCAAACGACAGGTGATGACTGCGAACGACAACGGGTGTGACCTGGTAGCACAGGGTACAGATATAGGGTTCAGATAAATGCAAAGGAGCTTCGGTATCCGATAATGCTTCGGTGAGGGCGTCCGTTCGGGCATGTGTGTTTGAACGCGCCGTTCCTAGGCATGCGAAGCGATCGGGTCCAACAGGCAACGGGCCTGCTCCTCTACGCCGATGCTTTCTCCTCCGCTCGTGACAGAAATCCGAACCGAAATCCCTAATGAACTCCCCACTCGCTTCACCACATCGGGCGGCCACCCCACTCTGCCTTGTCGTCGTGCGCCACGCGCGGCGCCCCTACCCACTCGCCTCAGCGCCGCGTCTGCCACCCACGCCCGCTCCACCTCCGGTGCGCCCCATCCCCCTACTCCTCCCATCCTGCCTTCATGTCTGCTCCCCCAGGCCCACGTCCACTCCACCTTCGGTGTGCCCCTGCTCGGCTCGGCACCGTGTCTGCCGCCCATGCCCGCTCCGCCTCCGTGCTGCAGATGCCACCGTTCCCCACCAGAAGGTCCTTGCTGCTGTCGACCTCAGCTCACGACATCACAAGATCCCAGTGGCCATACTCGGAGCGGGCTTCTTCGACTACACCACGCGCTTCCTTCCCTCCCTTGACGACGGTATCCGACGATGTGTACGAGATCGAGCAGGGATGCCTTGCCCATCAGGGGTGACTCGGCCAGCAACGCCGACTAGGATGCAGTTGCTCGGCGGGTCCGTGGTCATGGGCGCCAGGCAGTTAGGAAGGTCTCTAACAGCAAGGCCCGCGGCCGTCTGACAGCGGCAGGATATGATGCATGTTGTAAGTATATATTTCAAATGTTTCATATGTGTTTAGAGGTATGTTTCAAGTGTTTAATACGGATGTTGCAAAAGTAGATCGGAATGTTGTATATGTTGCAATGGTTGTATATGTACGTGGTAAGCGTCCGTCCCCAATGTTTCATTTATTTCTTTCAGATATATGTTGCAAGTGTGTTTCATCCGGATGTTGCATATGTTTCACACATTTGTTACAAGTGTTTTTTTGGATGTTGCGTATATTTTGCAATGGCTACACACGTGTTTTTCTGGTGTTTCAGACGTATGTTGTAAGTGTTTCAATTGTTTCGGACGTATGTTGTAAGTGTTTTATCTAGATGTTGCAAAAGTAAATCTTGGTGTTGCACATGTTGCAGTGGGACCCATCTGCAGCAGCCACCTGCTATAGCTGCTGGGTCCACCTGCATGCGCGTGGTTGGAGGGCGCCACAGTGCGGGCACGAGACAAATCGTGTGCAGGACACGGAGTGACGTGGGCCACAGTGTGGGTGCGGACACAGTGCAACGCGGGACACGGAGTGGCGCAGGCCTCACGTGAAGCATGCGCGGGCGTCCGGACGCTAGCCCTGTCCGGACGTCTGGGCACTAGACGTTCCATTCTGTATCTGACTTTTTTTTTCGAAGCAACATCGGAAAAGGGCAGGTAGTTCCTGCAATCCACGATAGGTAAAAAGAAAACAGAAATTTACCCAAGTTAAGCGGACCTGAAAACCATATATAGTTGCACGGTTTATTAAAGGGAAAACGCCAAAAAAAATCTAAACACTACTGCCCAAACGACTAAATTGAGGGAGCCCAAGGGCAAGTCATCATTGTCGAGCTCATCACAAGAAGACAAGCTTCGTGTTCGTCTACAAATTGAGGATGAGCTGAATTGGATTTGCATCTCTTCAGTTCCGCCCAACACGCACTGAAAGCCTTGGGGACTGATATGCATGGATGCCCTTTACTGGATGTCTACTAAAGGTGCCACTTCACTGTTGACTTAATTTCTACTCGTATATAATTGGTGACATCTGACATGGCCACTGGTTGCAAGGCGCATGTAAACCTAGCTCGCACCCTCCAGAGTCCAGAAGGCAGGTTTAACCAATGATCATAAATATCCCTTGGTGATTTGTTGCTCAAGCTCATCGAAGTTCCAAGCATCATTGACCGAGTATTCACCTGCAAAGTAAGCCTTAGAAACATTCACAAGCAACAAATTTTCACTTGACTACAACTACAGCTGGACCAAGTAGACAGTAGCCAAGAGGCACATAACAGAAAATTACCTATTGAGTCTCTCCGCAAGGCAGTTAAATGAGCACAGCTGCAGGAAAATGTATAGACTGAATTTGGTCACCGAAATATATTAGCATAAAAGATATGTCGATGGATAAGAACAGTAACTGAATGAAAATGGGGGAAAAAGGAGCATGGGGTTATTCTACAATTAAACGACAAGAGTAATATCTTAAACTACATCCAGAAAAAAAGTGGAGGAACATCGTGTAGCGAACCACCCCCGCGTCGCTCCCACGCGAGCGGCTCAGGCGGCTCCTCCCCCCAAACCCTAGCAGCCCCTCCCCTCCCCTCCCCCCGCCGCGCCGCCGCCGGAGCTGGCCGCCGGCATGGCCGCCCGGCCGACAGGGATGGCGGCGGCGGGGCCTTTCTCCTCTCTCGGCGGCGCGTGCGGCAGCAGGCCGACGGTCCCTCCCCTCGCGTGAGCTGCGTGGAGCTCAGCGGGGAGGGCCGTCGCGGTTATGGCAGCGCTGGCTAGTGCTCGAGCTGGCACAGGGGACGGCGGTGGGCTCTCCTTCTCCTCCGTGCGTTCCCCTCCTCCTCTCTTGACGGCGACAGCGGCGACACCTGGGGCCGCCGGTCCGGGCCACGTGAGGTCAGATCCGGTGCCCGGGAGGCCGGATCTGGACTCTAGGTGGCCAGTTCGGCTCCGGGGCCGGCGGCGGGCGGTGCCTGCGGTCGTGATCAAGATGGAGGCGGCGGCGGCGGCATGGGGCGCCGGGTTCGGGGCCTGGTGTCCGGATCCGGCGGTCCCAGGGCAGGGGGCGGCGCCCGAGATGGTGGGGCACACGCCCTGTTGCGGCTGGCGGCGAGGTCGGCTGCGACATCGGCGGGTGCCTGGGCCGACGAAGATGGTCTGTGGCGGCCTCGTCGTGCGGCATTGGGACGCGAGCGGCGGAGCCAGGTCCGGCTATGCGTGGCCCGGACGGAGGGGGTGACGGCCGACGCAGCTGTGCGGCTGCTGCGTGCAGCCGGCGCGTCGATGCCCCTCTGAAGGGGCTTCCGTGGGGCGGCGGGACAGCGACGATGGCGGTGTTGGCTGGCAGGGGGTCCGGCTTCGTGACCCGACGTTCGTGCTAGAGGGTTCTTGGGCGAAAGCCTTGGCGACGACGACGCCTTTGGGGGTCGCTTCCCTGTTGGGGGCGTCGTGTTCCCCTCTAGCATGTCATCCAAGGGTGAAAACCCGGTCCACTTTGGACGTGTGACGGTGGTGCCATCGGCGTCGCTCCCTTCCTGAAGGCGTCGCATCTGGATTATCGCCACGGCCTCGATGCGAGGCATGGGTTTGCAACTAGAAGTCGGAGCTGCTCTTCGTGGGTTGAGCTTGGCAACGATGACCGGTGGCGGTCGTTCCTTTGGACCCGTCGGGAGGTGACCAGTGGGTGGCCTGCCATGGGAAGTCCAAGCTGCTGGCAGCTTTGCTTCCATGCTCGGCAACGATGATTCATGGCAGTGTGTCGTGTTTGTGCTCAATCGCGTCGCGTGGGGTGGTTAGCCCCTCGGGTGCCATTTTGGCTACTCGGTTGGCTAACCTTCTTGTACATTATTACTTCCTTTCGTCTTAATTGAGCGGCAGAGCTCCTGCCTTTTGTTTAAAAAAAAAAAAGTGGAGTAACAAGTATTTGGGTTCAGTGCAACAAATACATGAAACTAGCCAACTTCAGTAAAGTAGCTAAGTTATTTTTTTTTTAAAAAAAACTTCCAGCCCAAAGACATGAAAATAATACTTGTGAAATATGAATATCAAACTTGGGCCTGTTAGTAAGGGTAAGTTCCAAGTGAGTACTATTAGTATGTATGCGAATTGGCCAAGATGGTACACTCGGTTAAATCTTTGACAGAGCAGGTATAAGCAGGGTGCATAAGCATAGGTCTAAAACACATAGAGATAGGCTCTACGCAGACTTTTAGGCTTATGGTGTTCAATGAAATTAGAACTCCACTGGACACATAAAGTAACTTGCCCATAAAAGGATGACAGTAAGTGAAAGGATATTGCACAATCCTAACAACTGAAACATTTATAGAAACCTGAAAAGTAAATCTAAATGCAATCCTGACACTATATCACTTAGAGCACATTATACATGCTGATGTCCATTTATCATTTATGCAGACTGCACACACAGAAAGAAAACAGAAAATAAGACTAACAGAAGAATAATTGTGCAAACCTTCCAAGTGCTTTACCCAAGTCCGCACATAGGGATCGAATATATGTTCCTTTTGAGCAAGTAACTCGAAATATCAAATTCTGTCTGTAGAATGCAACCAAAAAAAAAAACAATCATCAAGAGGAGTACAGGTAATCATATGAGCACTAACCAGATATTTATTATCTGCTATGAATTCAAAGGTAGGAAAAGAGGAGTATAAGAACACCTGTCTTCCAAACTGCGCTCAATATCAAATTGGTATATTGATATACGTCTTGGTGAAAGCTCTACTGTTTCACCCCTTCTTGCTTTGTCATACATATTTTCACCACCAACCTGATTTCATCGTTGATTACAATTGTAAGCTTGTGAATTTGTCATACATGTTTCGGAAATAACACAACTTGTGAACTTGTGGTTTCATGGTTGATTAACTTTGAGTAATAGGCAGTGTGACAGCACATGGAAGATCAGTAATATCAAACTGTATAATGACAAAATCCAACAATATCCTTATGTCATTATTTACAGAAGCAGTACACAGACAAGTCCAGAGATAGTATGACAAAAGTAACCTATATGCGCATTATCTTTCTATTTCCCTTTTTGCTCTTCATAGGTGAACAATATACTTCTAGTGGTTTAGTTGCTTACTATCCAAAAGTGTAAAACTGCTGAGCAGATTGTGTACCGTAATGGCAACATTCTTTTAAAGAAAAGATACAGAAAAATAGCTTTAGGTACAAGAATAGTGTACCTTAATGGCAGAAAACATTGGAGGAACTTGCCATATCTGACCCTTGAATGATGCTGCTGCCTTTCTAATATCTTCATCTTTGATGTGTTCCCATGGTTCCCTCTGAATAATCTGATCATAGAAGGATGGAAAGCATTACTGTCATCTAAGCAGAATTGTAAGAATATAGATAATTAAAATGAAAGCTAATATAAAAAAAATAACTATACAGGATCAGATTTGGGAAAACACAAGTGGTTTAATTAATTATATCAAGAAAAGGTTAAGATTGCACACAATCAACTATTGAGATCTGAAAACAGAGTTTGTAATTTCTGACATTTGTAAAGATAGGATCAACAAATGCTTGCAGAATTTACAGTCACCTACTAAACTATATATAGACTATATATGCTAATAAGGTGATCAACCTCTTTTTAGGATAGAATCTTTCAATACGATTTCTCAGCAACATTGTACATAAGCATAATTAACTGTGAAAATAGAGTTAACAGTCACCAACTAAATGATATGTAAACAATATATGCTGATAAGTGACGAACCTCTTTTCAGGATAGAATCTTTCAATAAGATTTCCAGCAGCATTGAAAAGAAGCATAACTAACTGTGAACCTAATAGGTTGTTATTTGGTGATGCTTCCCCAAATCCCTTCAATAATGTAAATTCATTTGCAACCCCCGAATAAAAGAATGTCCAGCAGACCATTGTAGAGATGCTAGGATACATACTGGTGAATCTGCATCCCAGGTTGATGTGGCTTCTCCAAGTCAGAAAACACCGCTGTAGCCTTTAACCATTCCTTGGTAGCTTCAGAAGCATGAGATCATTCAGAAAAAAAAAATACAGTAAGTGCTAGAGATGGAGGGACGATAAGTAGCGATAGTATGCAAAACAATTATTATAGAGTCCATATTTTATTTTTCCACCAAACCCTACTATACAGTCTATACCAGAGCAAATTTGAAGATAAGCGTAAGCCAGAGGACAACTGTCCCAGGCTCCCAGCATCCACAAGAATAAGCTTTCCCCAAAAGATTAGATGATGTTACCTATCAACTATTTTGGTTGCTTTTCCTACACAAACAATCAACAATCCAGTTGCCATGGGGTCCAGAGTTCCAGCATGTCCAACCTGAGACCACACAAATATTGCAAAACATATACTTAATGCTAAGGGCGAATGCTACATTCAGACACAGTGAAAAAAACCTGATATCACCTTTTGTACTTTCACCAAGCGCCGCAACTTGCCACAAACAGTAAATGAAGTCCATCCTAAGATTAGAGGAAAGACGAGTTCAGATGAATTGTTCAGGATGGAAGGCAACAGAGCAAATTAATAAAACACCGCTCGAACCTAATCCTGTCCGCGCATTAACTAATTATTATCTGCCCTGATAGGAAACACAATACAGAACCCTGTCTTGAGGCAAAGCTGCAGTTGCCACACCGACTGATTGCCATGTAATTGTTGCGCTAATCGCTCACATTTCAAAAAAGGAATTTTCCAGTGGTGCATGTGCATCAGATAAAAGTAGCTAAAATACTACTGTTGTCTTAGATGATACATTTTGGTGAGAATCCCAGAACCTGCAATACACCAAAGTGGAGGGGAAAGGCATCACCTTTGGGTGAGAATCCCAGAACCTGCAATGCACCAAAGGGGAGGGGAAAGGCATCACCTTTGGGCCTGTCAATGAGCACGTCGGTCCCGGCCGGGCCATCCCACCTGGGTGGCAGCTCCGTGGTCCTGGTGACGAGGTACGGCTGCGGACGCTCCTCCTCCCTTGGCACCTCGCGCTTCACCTGCCGCGGCTCCGCTCCCGGTCTCTTGGCCTTGGTGTCGGCTTGGCCGGGGCCCTTATTCAGAGACCTGAAGAAGTCTTCTACCTTCCTCTCCAGCACCTCCCCTTTGTCGTCGCTGTCGCCGCCCTTCTTACTGACCACCCGCTCCCCTCCCTCATCTTCCTTCTTCTCGTCGTCGAAGAAGACGAGGCTCATGTCGGCGTCAGAGGCCGGGGCAGCGTCAGCGGAGACGAATGCGTTGTCGAGGGACTGATGGGGGAAGTACTTCTTCTCCAGGTGGTAGAGCATGCGGTAGTGCTTGTCCTTCTCCCACGGCATGGCGAAGGTGTCGTGGAAGTAGAGCGCCTCCTCGCGCCAGTGCAGGCGCGGGAAGTCCACCACCTCCGGCCGGAGCTCGACGAACTCTGACGAGGAGGAGGGCTTGGTGGTGGTGGTAGCGTCAGGGTGGGGGAGGAGGCGGCTGCGGCGCTTGCGGAGGTACCGGCGCTTGGCGCGGTCGAGCGGCTGCTCGTCGGGGGCTGGCTCGTCGGAGAGCATAGCATCATCGATGTCCATGAGGACTTGCACGTAAGAAAATGGATGATGACAATTAAAAATGCAACGAACTATCATGTTTTATAATTATAATATAATAAAAATAAAGTTGATTTTTAAGAGGAATGTTTAAATCAGAAATCAGAGAATAAATAAAATTACGGTAATGCTATTATTAAGACGTCCGGAAGACTTCTGCTCCACTTACTGTCGCATGCGTCGCCCGCCTAAAAAAACAAAATCAACTCCCACACGCCTCGCTCTGCTCCCGTCCTTACCCCTTCCGTGCTCCTCATCCCTACCGCAGCGAACCAACGCCCGGCGTCCTCCCCCACCGGGAGCCTCCAACGGGCGCAGATCCGACAACCCTCTCCCCCACCTCGGCGAGATATATGGAGCAGGAACAAGATCCACTCGCCTCCGGCAAGATCCATGGAGGTCAGGCGGCGGTGTTGCAGGGGAGTGGGCGACTCTACTCCACCCCCGCGCGGCGCCCTCTACACCCCCGGCGGCCATGGTGCTCCTCGCCCCCCATCCCCTATCGTCTGCACCGAGCCAAACCCGATACTAGTGGCGCGGGTACTCATGCGTCGCCGCTTGCCGTCGGCTCCGACCCGGACGGCTGGAATCGACTGGCCCAGGCTTCTCCTCCCCTATGTTGCAAATATATGTTTCTGGTGTTTTAGTCATTTCAAAGGTATGTTGCAGTTGTTTCTTATGGGTGTTACAAAAGTAGATAAAAGGATGTTGCACATGTTGCATATGTTGCAAGTGTTTCAGAAGCATGTTACAAGCATTTGTTCAAAATATTTCATCTGTTTCCAAACGTATGTTGCAACCATATTTTTCTGGATGTTGCATATGTTTTCACACATATGTTGCAATAGTTTGTTCCAAATGTTTCAGTTGTTTCAGTCTTATGTTGCAGTAAGTGTTTTCCATGTTGCACTTGTTTTATCTGGATGTTGCATATGTTTCATACACATGTTGCAAGCGTATATCTCAAATGTTTTATCTGTTTCAAATGTAGGTTGCATTCGAGTGTTTCTTTTTGCAAGTGCAGACCGCCGATGTTGATGTCCATAAGGACGGGCAGGGCTAAGCCACAGGCACCGACGCGTGGAGGAGGCACAGGCCACGCGGTGCTTTTGTTGAAGAGGTGGGGGCAAGTCATCCGAGCAGTGTGGGCAGCGGATCTGAAACAGATGGTTCGAATGCGAGCACGAGAAATAGAGCTGACGCGCGAATTCGAGCGAACGTGGCGGAGCAGCCGCTGGCGTCCGAACGGACGCAAGCACGTGGACCTCAAGGCGCTAGTGCTGCCCATAAAATTATGCTATAGAGCCACTATGTTTTTTCTTTAATGAGATGCGATCATCCATCCATGGTTTTTAAGCCCAACACGGACAGAAACAACCCACCTGGCATTCAACCTGACACGCAGGCCACCCAAATAGGTCCATGAGCCAGCAGCCCATTGCCGCATTGCGCTCTCTTGGTCCCTCCCGGCTCTCGGACAGCCAGCCAGAGAGGAAGGCACGATAGGGCGGGGCTGTGGCTTCATCACTTCACTACATACAAAGCACAAGTATTTGTTGGGTGATTATGCAAGCGGTAGATCGACGTGCCATTTTTTAATAAGAAAGCTTATGTTGATGTTTTTTTTGTCACCAACTAATAAATTTAGAGTCACGTGTTGGTTCGGATTGCCTAGCTCCGGGAAACTCAAAATACACGACCGCATAGCTCAGTTTCACTAGTGAAGTTGTTTTTTAGAGTGTTTGGGACTTCTCCACAAACTCTACTTCACAAACTTCACTGTGGAGCAATTCCATAAAAAATTGGAGTTTGTGGAGCACCTCTTTAGGTGTTCTCTCAACTCCACCCTTTACCTTCGAACAGAGTGCGTGAAGCTGATACCGTTTGGCTAAAAAACATAGAGCAGATCTGAAAAAAGTGGAACGGAGCAGTTCCAAGCACCACCTTAAAGTTTCAGCTCAACCAACACCTTTATCCATGAAGCTTAAACTGTTTTTCAACCTGTTTTGCAAAATAGCTCATGATCGGAGACAAAATGAATGAAATGACTACAGTGCCCCCATTTTTTCCCTTTCCACTTTTTTTTCCTATTTTTTCACCTGCCCATCGGTTTCCTCCGTGAGTCACGGCTGCGCCAACACCGCCTGCAAGCCCTGTGCATGACCTGCCGGCCCAGGCGGCCGCGAACGCCCTGCGAGCCCAGCCTCGCTCGGAGGTCGTGCGTGCCTCACGAGCTCCGGCGGCCGCGAGCTCTAGTTGTGCGTGCCTTGCGATCTCCAGTGTCCACACGTGCCACGACGACGATGGCCGCACCGCTCGCACCAAGTCCTGGTCGCTCGCCCGCTCTTGCCCGCTCGTGCCCCAGTTACGACAGTCATGCCGCTCACCTGTGGTTCCGGCCGCGCCGTGCTCCTAGCTCCGGTGGCCTTTGCTGTGTTCTTCTGACGTGACATGTCTCTCCTTCATCTGCTCGTCCGTACATAGCTCCTGGCGGCTGCGCCCCACCACCCCCCGCCGATCGCGCCCCGGTGGCCACACCCCGGCGGGCCACGTCCCGGCATGAGTACGTAGCTCTCTCTATCTCTGCCCGGGCAAAAGGAGTCTTTTGTGCATGCTTGGCCCCCTCATGTGTTACGTGAAACTGGGATAAGCTACATTTTTGAACTCTCTCCCATCACATCCTCTGGTGAGAGGAGGGAAAAATAGCTTCACCCAAGAAGCAGTTTTAACAAAATGGTGTTTGGAAAAAAACAGCTCATAACATCTCATGAAACTGTTGGTGAAGCTATGCCAGATAGGCCCTTAATGGTGTAACCCTCGCACTCTCTTTCTTATCCGACTGATATGAGTCGAGCATAAGTTTAGTCTCCTGTGAAGTCATATATATCGTATTAATGAGGGTGCCCGTTGTATGGATACACGTCAACTAAAATAATTAAACATTGGCGGTACTCCAAGAATCTACGGTCATGGAGCAGAGATTAACAAATTGAATTCGAGTAAAAGCTCTGAATCAGTATCCAACAGTGTTAGAAAAATTTTATTGTATTTCATTGAAAGCATGACGAACACTATCACCGGAAAATAATGGCAAAAAATTCCAGGAGCCTTCCTTAGTCGCAGTGGCTCTAGAGTTTGAAATAAGTTGAGTTGTGGATGTGTTGTAAGATTCACCGGACTCAGACATGAACCTTTTGCAAGAATGACAAATTGGAGCTGGTATCTTTGAATAACAAATGTACTCGACCCAAGCAAGAAACACAAATCTCACGGGGCAACAAAGCAATTATGCTCATAAAGAAGAGTGTTCCTAGGTAAACTTGTAATTATTACAGCCCACAGAGCCAATTTGCTTCACGTAATGTCGCATTACCCGCATAAGCATATGTGCTAAGAATTGTGGCTTGAATCCTGCAAGCACTAAAAACACCTGACCATCTTCATGACCTCTATCGGGCTCCTCATTGTTGTCAGGACGGGTTATCGATATAATATAGAGGTGCTATGCATCATCTTACTTGATACCAGTCCTGTTAGTTCTATGCTCCTTGCTCCACCAGGCATCCTCCTTTCGGCTCCGCCATCAGTGAATTCCCACTACATAGAGACCCTTATATATGAACCTTGCATGTCATCAAAATACAAGACATGTTCCTCATTCCAAGACAAGATGCTGACACCATGGACGGACGCTCACCGAAGTTGGCACCAGTCTTTCCTCCCTAGCATCCTAACCGACCGCGACGAGCCACGCCTTGTCAGCTCTTACCGTGTTATGTTCCTATTGGGACACGGATAGCTTGGTTGCGAAGGCTATCCTCCCCTCACATCTCTTCATCACACATCTAATAGACTAAGCTATAATATGGGTTGTCGTGTTTATTTTGACAGGAATCTTACAGGGACCTTTGCCTATGACATCTGACCTTGCGAAGGTCCATGGCCAGTGGAGGTGTCTCGGCGAAGGCCCGAAGATTGCTTCAAGGCGGCACCCAGGAAGAGGACATGAAGGTCACTGGGGGAAGATGATGAATCAACTCAGCAGCTAGAGAATACCGGCGGAGGTTAGGCCTTCGCCTTTTATGGGCAGGGCTCCCGAAGGAGGCACGTGCTGCATAACCACTGGGCCACCAGTGGGCTTAAAGCTAAGACCCATGAGGCAAGGCGGTTGAGGGAGAGAAGACCTAACGTACCCTAGGAGTTTGTAAGTGTACGGGCATATGCCCAGAATATACCCTACCGATTGTTGCGGGTGATTCAGGTCCACCCGATCCCCGGGCGTCCAATTTGCTAACCATTAGTCGATTGTGCAGGAGACACCAAACAAATGTTAATGATATGTTACGGGTGTCCATCCCGTGACTCCCATCTGGATGTGGCTCATTCTCATCCACTCATCCACGTGCTCTGCCCGTGTCGCCCGCCTGCTCTGCGCTGCGCACCCCCGTTCGCGCAGGATGGACTCCGCTCGCCAACGCCGCCCCCACTCACGGGACGAACTCCACCTGCGCCACCCCCGCTCATGGGATGTTCGCTCGCCAGTGCCCCCCACCTCCGTGGATCCTACTCGTGGCTCGCGGGACGGACTCCACCGACGCTGCCCCCGCCTGGGCGCGCCGCGTGCCTCCCTTGCCCGGACTCGTGCCTCCTATTACCACCACGCTCCATCCGCCTACCGCGGCCACTACCGAGGTCCATGCCACTGACGAGCTCCGCACCGGCGACCTCCGTGTACTCTATGTCATCAAGCTCTGCGCCGTTGTCAAGCTCCACGAAGATGACCTCCATTCATCCAAGCAGTAAGGTGACATTGCGCTGAAAGCGCATGTTGCAAAGCGTATGTTTCAAGTGTTTTATTTGTTTTAGAGGTATGTTGCAAGGGTTTCGTATGGATGTTGCATATGTTCAATGGTTGTACACTTATGTTGCAAATGTTTGTTCCCAATGTTTCATCTGTTTTTTAGACGTATGTTGCAAGTGTG